TAGATTAATAGGGGGGTGCTGGCTTTACTAATGGGGGTGCTGTTGTGCTGCACAGTTGGGTGTTAAAATTAGATTAAAAACGCATGATGTAGCGGGGGGTTTGGGGGAGGGGGGCTTTAATAGGGGGGGGTTTCGGGCAAATTTTTTTGTTATTGTGGGGGTGCCAGGGCAAATTCCTGGGTTTCAATTAAAACGAGTATTGGCGAGGGATTTTCCAGGAAAACCAGGCGCTTTAATAGGGGGGGGTTTATTAATCCTGGGTCTGCATTAGGATCCATAACTGCAGAGGACAGAAAGCGAAAAGTGGTCCCATCCAAGCACGGGCTCATCTTTAGAGCCATCCTTAGAAGTTCCTCGAACAGATGACCGTACCAAAGTGCAGCTTTAGCCACGCTCGAACCCCCTCCCCCTCCGCAGCTCCACGGCGCCTTGATGCGCGTACATCCCGTAGATGCCGAAGCGCAAGCGCAGCATAAGCAAACACGCGCGATTTCACTTACTTACGTGCGCTTGCACTTAAGCTTAAGACAATCGATTTGTTGGCGTGGTTTCATTTGATTTGACCTGACGACCCTTTTGTTTGAAGTCTTATTCTACTTGTGCGTTGTTTATTTGTTTGTTTGTTTGTTGGTGTGTTTGTTTGTGTGTTTGATTGTTTGTTTGTTTGTTTGTTTGTTTGTTTGTTTGTTTGTTTGTTTGTTTTTGTTTGTTTGTTTGTTTGTTTGGTCGGTCGGTCGGTCGGTCGTTTGTTTGTTTGTTTGTTTGCTTGTTTGTTTGTTTGATTGTTTGTTTGTTTGTTTTTTTTGTTTGTGTGTTTGTGTGTTTGTGTGTTTGTGTGTTGTTTATGTGTGTGTGTGTGTTTGATTGTTTGTTTGTTTTGTTTGTGTGTTTCTTTCTTGTTTGTTTGTTTGCTTGTTTGTTTGTTTGTTTGTTTGTTTGTTTGCTTGCCTTTGTTGGTTGTTTATTTGCTTGCTTGTTGGCTGGTTGGTTGGTTGGCTGGTTGGCTGGTTGGCTGGTTGGCTGGCTGGCTGGTTGGCTGGTTGGCTGGTTGTTTTGCTGGTGGTTCGTTGGTTAGTTTGTTGCGATCTCTGACTTGTTTATTTGTTTGTGTGTGATTTGTCAGTGTTTTGTTGTTGGTGTGTTGGTTGGTGACTATGTGTTTGTCTGATTGCTTGTTAGTTTGCCTGTTTTTGATCACATGAGTGTATATATGCATGTACCTATATAGTATAAGTAGAGTTTAAAGCACGCGGCGCAGACACACGGACGCTTGCACACTCACACGCGCACACAACAAACAACCGGACAAACGAACACACAAACAAACAAGCGAGCAAACAGACATACACAATCTCACACACACAAACACACGCATAGACAGAGACACACACTCTCTACACACATTTGTTTTAATAAACATCAAGTCGTCGTGTCTTGTTCAGCTGCGGGTTTTCATGCCGCTATGCCCCACCGCGCCTCCTTTTGGCTCCTTTCGGTTCGTTTCTGCGCGAGGAGGCGGCGAGCCCACGGAAGGTGGGGCCCAAGAAGGACGTGGACAAAACCTTCCTGGCGCCCGGGGCCCAATGCCTTTGCTGGGTATCATTAGACTTCAACTTTCTGTGAAATGCAAAAGTTTCTCCCTCTGACCTGCAAAAAGTGAACTTTTTGCACTGGCAATAGGCATTCAGCAACCCCAATCCCGTTGAGGTTTAAAGTTGGCGCGAAGTGTGGAGAGGAAGCAGAAAGCCTCAGGAAGGAAGGAATGAGGAGCAATTTTGACAAGGAAGGTCGGCTGGAAAAGCAGCTTGCATCTGTTGCATGGACTTATGTGGTGCATGGATGTTCTTGTTCAGGAAAGGCTGGAACAAGCGGTTGAGCTTTCCAAACCCCTATTTAAAATACACTAAGAAATGTGACTCTGGAATCCGGAATCAGTAATATCGCTAAGTCATAGGTTTGGGCAAAAGGCAATTGCAGCTATCACCTTGCCCTTTGGCGGTGGGAGCGGGCAAAACATACTCTTTGGCCGCGTTCACCATTGAAGACTCAATCATAGCAGTGAGCCATGTGCCACATCAAGCCCTGCTATTCCAGGAAGAAACACTTTGTTCGAGGCACCCGAAGGCCTTCTTGGGCGTGGGCTCCGTGTTGGACAGAGGCTTTTGTCTGTGGATGTGGGTGTTGGCCTGATTTCCCTCTTCACCGCCTCGTCATGTGTGAAAAGGGCTCGTAGAAGGAAGGGCGGTAAATAGCCACCTAAGGATGAAATGGCAATATGCTGCCGCTCGCAAGCATGCAGTATGAAATCTGCAAAAGCATGGTGGCTTTAGCTCCTTGGCTTTTGGCAAGCCAATTTCACGCTGCTTTTTGACCGCGGACTTCCTTAGCCTTACCCGTACGGTTGCCAAGCCGTCACCGCCAATTAGGCAGGACGCGGAGATCCATATCTACTCCGGGCAGGCTGGCCCTATCAGTCGAACAGACCGAATCTGCCTTGTCTATTCAGCGGTTTATTGGTGGGCTTGACAAAACATGGGTCTGTCTCTTTTTGAGGGGTAGCCTCTTTGGGGAAAGAGGAACTAGGATTTGGGTCCAGGTTTTGGGGTCAAGCTGGGAATGTTGGACTGGCTTCAAGTCACTTGGTGTCGATGTTTGTCTTAGTTGCCACCGGTTGTTCCTGTGGTTTCCCCTTCATCTGATTTCAGTCATGGCAACCCAAGGGACAACAGCCTTAGTTTTTAGCGCGCTTGGCTAAGTCGGATGTGGGCAGCGGATGTGCGTTGGCAGTTAGCAGAGATTGGTTGGATCTGCTCCATCAAACAGGCCCTCGGAAAATCGAACGGCGAGAGGAACTCAGATCATTGGCCTGTAGAGTTTGGCAAAGCGTTGCAATGAGGCTTCTTGGCTTCCCCTTGTAAATATGATCGAACAAACAAGGCTATTCTTTGAGATAGGCTTCCAAGCTCAGGGTGGATGTGGGACAAAGGGACATAGGGAGAACCTGGCACAGTTCAGTGATGCTCCGACTTCACGTTCACCTACGAGACCAGAGGATGCTCAGTTGTCCAAAGCCGACCTTTTGACCTGTTGTTTTGCCCGTTTGGTCTATGTTTGGTCAACCTTTGGGCAAGTGAAGATGGATTGCCTCATCCAGGCCAGAAACACCGCGGAATTGCAGAAGACGGCCCTACGGGAGAAGATGAAGGGCCAGGCCTGCAGCCATTTCCGGTTGGAGCGCGGAGCGAGACATCTGACTAGGGTTGGGCCAAGACTCTGATCACCACCAAGTGTTTGCGCAATCTCCTTCTAGCCTTTATCTGCTAGTACTACTACATCTTCTGTTTAACTACTTTACCCCACCATCACTCACACTTTACGTCGACCTCTACTCTACCCTTGGTATCACCGCTTGTAGGGAACCATCCAAAGAGTCGGCCAGCAAAAGCTGATTTCAGCAAAAGCTGTGCACCCTGCTGGCATGTCCAGTAGCCAGGAGGGCAACCAGCTGCTGACCTACAGTGCGGAGAGGAACTCGGGCTGCTTTCCCATGCTGGAGAAGGATGTGCCCTTGGACAGGCAGAGGGAGATAAAACCCATGGGGTTGGGCTTGGGGTGGCATGGACGGAGGCTGGAAGGAAAATGGTCCAAAGTGGATGAGGGGTGAAAATCCTGGAGTTTTTGGTTTTCAGCCTAGGAACTCCCTCAAGGAGTGTGCTGACAATTTTTGGTACAGAACCCGTCAAAGGATCCTGTTTTAGCCCCCCCCCCCCCTGCCCCAGTCAGGTTGCGTGGCAACGTGTAGAGAAGGCAGATTCGCTTTGGAGAAACTCTGCCGGAACTCCGAGTCCATCGGAGCCGACTGGCCCAGCACTGCGATTTGCTCCACCGCCCGGCTGGAAAATCAAGGCACGGCCCTCTTGATTGTCGTAGTCAGGCCAACTTTGAATGAGAAAGCAAACACACAACAGGCTGTTTGTTTGGTTGGAAGCGCGCTCCGCCAGTCAAAGGAGTGGCTCACGCAGTACTGTGGGCCTGGATTCATGGATCTGTTGGAGTCTTTCTTGAACCGGAAGGATCATGACTCTTGATCATTGATTCTCATATTATTGGTTTCATGAAGTCAATCATGGGGCATGGAGACAGTTTGGCAGCTTTCCTTTGTATATATATATATATATATATATTATATGTATATCCACTTGCTCATAGATGTCCTGCGATTAGGGTAGAATCACGGTATGTGGTGTTTGTTTGTGGGCGTCTCAGGCAAATATATGTTTCACATGGATGTCTTACTTCCCACGTGTCTGGACTTGCTGAAGTGGGGGAAAACTTGACTGCTCTTGGGTTGGATCTTAGGTTTTAACTTTCTGGGAAATCAATTTGTTTTCCACTAAACCCACGACAAGTTATTTTTTTGCAAAGGGGTCAGCAGCGACCAAGAAAATGTATAGTTTTTGGAAGGGCCCATTTTTTAATGTTGAGTTTATAGCCAACGGCCAGTCCACTTAGGAAGTCGTACGTTGCTAAAGCTGCTTGGCCAGGATGCTGCGGCAAGAAGTACCGCAGGAGCCGGTGCCGGGTGGAAACTCGGGGGACTGGGTTGGACGTGAGGCACATAGACTAGGTCCCCCAGTAGTGCCCTTTCACCCTATTTTTTGGGGAAGGTTCCCCTACTAAAATAACTACAGAAGAAAAAAAGGTACCCTTATTCAAACCTCTCTACTGGAGGACCTAGTAGATCTCGAACAATTCTCCTTTCCAATAACCCGGTCACTTGCCAAGGAGTCGACGCGCTTGTGCCCACCATTATTTTCCGATTGTGATGCGTGTCAGCGAGTCTCAACTCTTGCCCATTTCCTGTGCGTTGAGTCTACGCTTGGAATGCCGACGAGCTCAGCAACTGCCAGTGTCAACGCCTTTTGCTGAATGAGCAATCGGGGTGTCATTGGAATACCTTGGACGGTGTGGTTCTGATGTGAAAAAAGAGATCCCTGCCCGAATCGGGCGGCGCGGTTGGCGTTTACGGGGGAATGAGAGTTCGAAAGGTCCTCGCTGGAGGATCCCTTTTGGATGAGGTCTTGGAGCAAATTTGCAGAATTTGCAGACGACTGTTTACTGTACCTAACCATCCGTTAGAGGCGTTCATTTTTTCCAGCCATGGCAACTGGAAACGGCGCTGCCGCACCCACGGGATGCGAGGGTCATTATATGGGTATGTGTTTTTGCTGACTCGACCGGTAGCCTTTTCAGGCTGGTTACAAGTGAAACTAAACGGGTAACCAATAGTTCGGGCCCCCTATTTTTGCACAAACACATAAATCAATAGCACCCGGTGCTTCCAACTGCTGCTATAGTTAGTAGGTAATCAAGCTTTATTACCTCTGGTTTTTTGAATCTTTTCCTGGTTATCCACTATAATCTAGAAGCTATTCCATTATTGTGTTCTATTTGGTTGGCTCTTGAACCTTTGACATTTGGGAAATGTATTGTCCAACCAACCTGCAATCAGTTAAGCATTTGGGCAGAGGGCACTAGCCAGGACTACATTTGTCAAAGGCGAGCGGCAGCCACCAAGGATTCGGTTTAGTTGAACCTGCCATCGACTGAAGGGATCGTTCGGGAGAATCCGTTTTCATGCGACATGGCCATCCACACAGGAGGATGGCAGGAAGACTTTCAAGTATCCAAGCCCCAGACAGGCGAGCGGGGCGTTCGGGGCGTGCCATCCGCGCGCTGAGGAGTTGCAGGGTTCCAGTTTCGCATGGCGCGGTTTGGGGGTGGAAACGAACGCCAGCAGGTGGCCCAATCTCCTTCTGGCGGGGTGATGTTCCAAGGGGAGAGAGAACATGGAGAGGTAAGGAACCCTCGAGATTCCAGCGAGCCATCGGAAAGTCTTAATTGCTCTGGGTAGGGCATGCATATTAATTTCATTTGTGGGTCAACTCAGTTTTAGGTCGTGAAAGCCAGCATATTTGTTGAAAGAGTCGTGTGTATAGCCCATACAAGAGGAGTTGAGTGTTGCTTGCATGACGGTTGTGCAGCTGGTCTGCGAAACATATAACCCTACCCAGACGTTGAACTCTGGCATGATGCGGCATCATCGCAAAGCCCCCCCGGCTTCAGCGCACTGCGTCAAGACATGTTCGACTGCACAGTTAATGTCGACCGCTGATAGATCATCCTCCCATCCACTGGCATGGAACCTGACTGCGGGATTCTGGAAGACTGCTTTCCTTGAACAGGGGCCTTTTTCTTTTGGTGGATTCCATGTTAGTGGACAGGAGCGAAAATAGGGGAGGATTCGCAAAATAGTGAAGGAGGCCCTCCAAGAGGAACACGAGCAGTTTTCATCCTAGGCTCCCGTTCGGCCAGGATAGCTTGCGGCATGATGCCATGTTTGATTTGGACAATTCCTAGCTCAAGACCCCGGTTTGGCGTAGGTTCAAGCAAATAGAAGGGTCTATGCTGACCGCACGCTGACCGTACGCTGACCGCATGGAAGGGGGGACGGGATCGAAACTGAACACCATTCCAAGAGAGGCGACCCCCAGACGTTTGCTCCCGATTCCCCGAGACCCCAGGTGAAGTGGTTGCTTTGGCTTGCAGTCTCAACCACTGTCTCAAGGAACCTTGGGATGAAAGCCTTTGAGGGGACCGCAACAGTCCTTGCGAGAGAACAGAAGCCAAGTTGACCCAGACATGGAAAGAGATCCCCGGTTGGGCAATTGGGAGGGGGTAAACTGGTCAGCCTCAAGTGGTCAGCCTCAAGCACGACCTGGTCAGTCTTCAAATGGCCCACCTGTTGTGTTTCCACATGTCAGCTGGCTGGATTTTCGTTTCCACCCCCTGAAGTGGTGCTGTTCCAGTGGCGCCTCGATGTGTTGCTCTACGCACCCTCTCGTTGGAAGCAATTTGGCTTGTTTCAGCGTGCCACTTGCGTGGCTTGGGAGTGAGAAGTGGACACCCGGGTCCGCCACCCCAATTGAACACACCTGTTTGAACCCTCCATTTGGTGCCCCTGAAAAAAGGTGCTTGACACCTCCGGCTAGGTGGAGGACTATAGGCGCATGCCAAACCAAGTCTCGGACGCGCGGAAGGAGGGGGGCTTGGGGCGGTGAGGTTAGGGATGGAATCAGGGGAAGACATTATTCTGGTAACATTTGACGGTCTGTTTCTAGCAACCCAAAACGGTTGTGTTATGTAGGCGACCCGGGTAAACCAGAACGCCAAGCATTAAGATGAACCATGCCTGCCATGATGGTAACTGGAAGAACAGGGTGTGTTGTGGCGAGCACACCTGGTAACATGAGCTCGGGCATGTGGAGTTTAGGGTTAAAGACTTGCCCTGCTAGGCGCCTGAATTCACCACTGAAACTGGACAAGTCATGAAGGGCCTAGGTGATATGCAATTGGACGGGTCCGGAAGGGCGAAGGCATATTTGCCGGCTTGATACCACTGGTCCATTGATTCTCCTTTGGCCTTGCCTGGTCAAACTACAACTATGCGCATGGGCTATCACCGTTTGTCCAAAGCCCCATCTGGTTTGTTTGAACATTGTGGCTTGATTTGCTGTCTCTTTGAAGCGCCCGCGTACTGTACTGCCAACAGGTGATCCAACGTATGCGAAGTCGTGTGATCCGGTTGATTCAAGCTTAAGGGAACAAAGGGGCGGTTTCCCAAGACAGTCGATGTGTTGCAGAATAAGAATCCCTCGCGCTGATGTGCAATTGGGTTGTTCAACATAGCTTCAAAGCAGGATGTTTATTTTGAGACCACCGTGTATGAGTAGGGCCCTCGGCAAAAGGTCGTTTGACTGACTCCCTGGAGGGAGTTTTAAAATCGGGCTGCTAAAACCACGAGTCCTGTCCTTTGCAGTGCTCGTACGGGTTGAACATCCTCAGAGCGTGTTCTGTATCCCAATATTGTTCTGGTCAAAGCACATTGGGCCCAACATGTGGCCTGGTTCAAGATCCAATATGATCGGTTGTCTCAGGGGGCCCGTGCATTCATGCCTTTTCTTCCCCCCCCACCCCTCCTGGTTTGTTGCTGTGTTTTCGCGTTTGAATTGTGAACCTCAAAACGGCAAACTACATGCCCTTTGCTTTCCCTTTTGGGCAGGATGAACTTGCGGGGGGTCCACTTTTAGGATGGGGACACGTCTTCCAAACCATGTCCGAGCATTGAAAGGGATGAGCGCAATGGTTGCACTTTCTGTGACATGGGGACAAAGTAGATTTGGGGATGGGAATCCCACTTTGGTATACCAGAAAGGGTGATTTGCACAACCACGATGTGCTCCAGGAGGATCTTCAATGTCAATGGGTTGAGAACCAGCTGCATCCTGAGCTTAAGATGAAGGACACCTCGGTTGGCCGACAGGGCACGCGTCCGGGGTTTCCGTCTTTGTGCTGCCCGAAGTGAAGTCGCAAGATCTGGCGCGCTTGGTTTTCCAGTTTTGATCCATTTCTGGTCATGGTGACTGAAATGGAAAGCCTGGCAATATCTGTGTGTTTCTGGGTTGTTGTGGATTCATGAGTCAAGCGAGGGCCGCCGTAAAGTAGACCTTCTCAGGATTCGACCAGGGTGGAGCAACAACATGAAGCTGCTGTGTGAAGGCCACATGATGAGCAATCTGGGTGATACACGACCCAAGATCGATGAAGGAGACCTGAATGGCCAGCAGACTTCTGTTGTTTCTTGTGTTTCTTTGAGATGTGGTTCACTTTTTGTTCCCATGTCCGGCCTTCCCTATTTATCTGCCGGCAAGCCTCCAGCGCTGCATTTGCTTGGGCTTGTGGTTCATGGCCATCCGTGAACTGTAGTGTGATCTTGCAGGGTCGGACCTAGGCAGTACGAAGCGGGTCCCCATGTTTGAGGAGACCCAGCTTCAATGTTTACTCCTGACCTTCCCAAAGCCAAGCCGGGCTTGTTGCCGCTCCCGAGGCGCCGAGGCGTGGCCCTTGGGGGAAACCTTCTGTTGAATTCATCAGAAGCAGCCGGGCCACGAGCATCAGCTTCGCTGGTTGCTAAATGTGCTTCACGGATCATGTCGGCATGTGTCAAGGCAAACTATGGCAACCTCCTTTCCTGGGGTCCTCAAATTTGATTATTTTATGTTGAGGTTGAGTATTTAATCACCTAGATGTGTCTTTCAAAGGATCTTGGTTTTGCGAAACCTTGGTGAAGAAAAATGGAGCTTGTGTTTGGGCATGTTTCATTGAAACCCACCTTTGTCCTTGGTCAACTCAGTCCAATTTGCATTGCAGGAGATCGTCACCGGAGCCTTCGATGCGCGGTCGCTGGGTAGCGGCTCCGGGCTCGGCGAACCCGGTGAAATGTTAGATTAAGGGCAGTCCCACCCATGCATAGGTGTGGCTGCCTCTCTTTTTTTTGCATGGTTTGGGTCAACCGTTTGACTATCAGGTTTTGATTGTAACTCATGTGTGTGTGTGTGTGTGTGTGTGTCTGTGTGTGTGTGTGTGTCTGTGTGTCTGTGTGTCTGTGTGTCTGTGTGTCTGTGTGTCTGTGTGTCTGTGTGTCTGTGTGTGTGTCTGTGTGTCTGTGTGTCTGTGTGTCTGTGTGTCTGTGTGTCTGTGTGTCTGTGTGTCTGTGTGTCTGTGTGTCTGTGTGTCTGTGTCTCTGTGTCTCTGTGTCTCTGTGTCTCTGAGTCTCTGTGTCTCTGTGTCTCTGTGTCTCTGTGTCTCTGTGTCTCTGTGTCTCTGTGTCTCTGTGTCTCTGTGTCTCTGTGTCTCTGTGTCTCTGTGTCTCTGTGTCTCTGTGTCTCTGTGTCTCTGTGTCTCTGTGTCTCTGTGTCTCTGTGTCTCTGTGTCTCTGTGTCTCTGTGTCTCTGTGTCTCTGTGTCTCAGTGTCTCTGTGTCTCTGTGTCTCTGTGTCTCTGTGTCTCTGTGTCTCTGTGTCTCTGTGTCTCTGTGTCTCTGTGTCTCTGTGTCTCTGTGTCTCTGTGTCTCTGTGTCTCTGTGTCTCTGTGTCTCTGTGTCTCTGTGTCTCTGTATCTCTGTGTCTCTGTGTCTCTGTGTCTCTGTGTCTCTGTGTCTCTGTGTCTCTGTGTCTCTGTGTCTCTGTGTCTCTGTGTCTCTGTGTCTCTGTGTCTCTGTGTCTCTGTGTCTCTGTGTCTGTGTCTCTGTGTCTCTGTGTCTCTGTGTCTCTGTGTCTCTGTGTCTCTGTGTGTCTCTGTGTCTCTGTGTCTCTGTGTCTGTGTGTCTGTGTCTGTGTGTCTGTGTCTGTGTGTCTGTGTGTCTGTGTGTCTGTGTGTCTGTGTGTCTGTGTGTCTGTGTGTCTGTGTGTCTGTGTGTCTGTGTGTCTGTGTGTCTGTGTGTCTGTGTGTCTGTGTGTCTGTGTGTTTTGTCAAAACAGGGTTCAGACCTTCAACATGGGGTGGTTCCCCTTAAGCCAACCAGAAAAAGGACACTTTGCAGAGCTCAAAGTTAAGAATATTTTGGGGTGAGAAGCCCTTTTAGCCACCGGGAGTAATTTAAAGATGTCACTTTAGTGGGCCCAACAGTACCGTTCCATGGAACCCGCTACAAGGTGCCAATAGGTTGTCATCAGGGGGACCTCCAGGCCATGTTAGTTGGGAGGGTACATGGACAATTTCGAGGGGCTCTGAAAGTCACTACTGGGATTGCTTCCTTAGAGCCTACCCCCTGAGGGTTGGCTTCGAACATTCGATTTGTTTAGGGGGCATTCTTGGTTGGGGACAACTTACCTGAGGTGCCCTTTGCCGCTTGCCAGCCTTTCCACTGATCAGGTTTCATGTGTGTGTGTTTCCCCATTGCTGCTATGATCAGGTTGCCTCAAATTTGTTTGGATTGGCGATTTGGGATGTGAACCCTTGGTTCTTGTGGGTAAATTGGGGCCGCGGAACACCTTGAAACCACCCTTCCAACGTTATTAATTGGGGCAAGGTAAATGGCCCAGTGATACATACACCAGGGTGAAGCACATGGCACAAAATCCCAATAGGTTTGGTCATGCCCTTTTGCTCGTCGCCCACATAAAGGGCATGTTGCTACCTTTCCCTCTGGCCACATCTACCAGGAGTTGTGGCCATCTACTTTGACCCTGCTGTATTTCTTCATGTTATATATGTAATGCTAGTATATGTGGGCTGAAGTCCTACTGTGGATGGACAAAATCCATTTCGCACCAGGTTGATAGATGGTTTATCAGCCAATATTCAAACCGGGTTTCGTCCCTTCAAATTGGTGTGTTTTGTAGAGGTTGTCCGCAGTATTGGAATGGTGTTGCTAAGCCCCCCTGCAACATCCTTCCTGTTCACCATTAAACAAACATATTGATATATATATATATATAAGATCCCTCCCAATACCAAGGTTTTCGTTTAGTTGAATCGTGGGGCCGATAATGGATATATATATATATATGTATACCTCCACCTTCCTAAGGGTGCAAAAAAAGAGCCTGTTCAAGCACAACTAGATTTTGTTTTGAAACGGCGATTTTGTCAGGGAAGCGGCGGTTCTTGATTTGGGAGCGCCGGGCGTGACATGTCACATCCGATGCTCTCAGCTGTCATGCATATATACATATATATATATATGTATGTACAGTATATAATATACAGATATTATCCTATTGGCTGCGTTCCTCTTGGCCTCCCCAGTTCTTTGCAGACCGAGGTGGTCAGGTCCTGGACCTGCGCCGGCCTTGCCTCTTCGAGCCCTGCCAGGCTGTGCAGGAGGCGTGCGCTGAAACGCGAAACTCGCGTTGGTCGCCTTGGTTGGGCGGCGGCGCAGGCTGTCTTTTGTCTATATACTCATTTCTTGACTCATGAGAAAGGTTTTAAAAGAAGGGTTTGCACAGGGTCCTACATCCCTGTTTTTCGGACCGATCTACATTTCAGTCAGCCAGTATCCACAAAATGGGTGTTTTCTGAGCTAAGGCATCCCCTCAGCGACCTTTGTTTCTGTCCAAAGAAGAGATCAGATTAAAAGGCTGACTACAGCCCTAAATGAACATACTCACCTGGATGGACGAAGCGTCCGGAGACTTTGCCGGACTGGATATTGCATTAGAATCATCGATATGAGGAGGGATACAGGGAACGAAGTATGAGTCCGCCATTAAGGCAAAAGTGGTTCAATTTGCTTAAATGATACCAAGAGGGGTGACCATCTCCCAGGTCCTTGGTTTACCCAGAGTTCCGGGCCTTTGCAGACTAATGTTGACCCCGGATTAATAAACCCTTGTTTCTTGATATGGGGTGTTCCCTTCCAAAAGTCATAAATCCCCACTAAAACCCGGGACACCCCCATATTAATAAACAAGGGTTTATTAATCCGGGTCAACATTACCTGGTTGCCTATAGGCGCCAAACTAGTTCCAGACAATGCAGGCCAAAGGACCACACTTTGCATGACGACCGGCTACTGGACAACTCAGAGACCGAGCGTTCACGTCCAAGTTTGTACGTATCCCGCACAAGGAATTGCATGAGCCTTATTGCTTTTCAATTGGAACCCCGTTTTTGGACTCGGGCTTTTACAGATCGCGGCCTGTTCATCTAGGTGTTCTGTTCGATTTGTTGAGCTGTTCGATCCCGATGTGCAAGGTCCATGAAACTGAAGGCAATGGTGGGATCTTTTCGAGGTTCCATAGAAACCATTTATGCTGATGGAACCTCCTGGCAGAGGGAAATGCGAATTGCTGGGTTCTTGAATGGCCCACAGTTGTTCGAGCCCCCCAAGGAAACCGGCGATGGAGGTAGTTATGATGTTTCCAGACCTATGTTGCACCCGGTCTCTCCACCCTTTCCTACAGGAGAAGCTGCCTCAGATGAAGTTCCAGGCGGAACGGGGCTTGTGATTCGCCTGGCTGTGTCGACTCACACGAAGAAGCCCCCCCGCTGCCGACAAAGCCATGGCCTGATGGAGGTTGCATGAAGTCAGACTAGCTAGGACTTTTCGGGGCCAAAGAACGGCATGGTGGGCGAAATAAGGCTTCAGGGGCAGTGGCTGGTGGGTTCCTTGGCGTCCACAGTGGCTGCTTTCAACCAACGACTGCCAAATGTCCGATGTGTGGGGTGTTGTGTGTTTTGCCAGGTTTCACCAGGCCTTAGCTGGTTGCTGAAAAGCTCTCCCAGCTGTTCATGGGCAGCAAAGGAAAGGATTGGAAATGAAAGAGGAAGTAAGCAAGCAAGTAAGTAAGCGAGCAAGTAAGTAAGTCAGGAAGCAAAAGTGTGTGTGTGTGTGTGTGTGTGTGTGTGTGTGTGTGTGTGTGTGTGTGTGTGTGTGTGTGTGTGTGTGTGTGTGTGTGTGTGTGTGTGTGTGTGTGTGTGTGTGTGTGTGTGTGTGTGTGTGTGTGTGTGTGTGTGTGTGTGTGTGTGTGTGTGTGTGTGTGTGTGTGTGTGTGTGTGTGTGTGTGTGTGTGTGTGTGTGTGTGTGTGTGTGTGTGTGTGTGTGTGTGTGTGTGTGTGTGTGTGTGTGTGTGTGTGTGTGTGTGTGTGTGTGTGTGTGTGTGTGTGTGTGTGTGTGTGTGTGTGTGTGTGTGTGTGTGTGTGTGTGTGTGTGTGTGTGTGTGTGTGTGTGTGTGTGTGTGTGTGTGTGTGTGTGTGTGTGTGTGTGTGTGTGTGTGTGTGTGTGTGTGTGTGTGTGTGTGTGTGTGTGTGTGTGTGTGTGTGTGTGTGTGTGTGTGTGTGTGTGTGTGTGTGTGTGTGTGTGTGTGTGTGTGTGTGTGTGTGTGTGTGTGTGTGTGTGTGTGTGTGTGTGTGTGTGTGTGTGTGTGTGTGTGTGTGTGTGTGTGTGTGTGTGTGTGTGTGTGTGTGTGTGTGTGTGTGTGTGTGTGTGTGTGTGTGTGTGTGTGTGTGTGTGTGTGTGTGTGTGTGTGTGTGTGTGTGTGTGTGTGTGTGTGTGTGTGTGTGTGTGTGTGTGTGTGTGTGTGTGTGTGTGTGTGTGTGTGTGTGTGTGTGTCTGTCGGTGTGTTTGAATCACATGCTTTGTGTATATATGATATGTGTTAATATATATATATATATATATACACAAACACACGAAGGGGCTGCGATGGACTTCCTGCTTCGCGATGGGCAAGCGGCACAACGCATCCATGTGCCAACAAGCGCAGTACATGGAACTGTGAGGCCTTACAAGGAGAGCATTCACGAACATAGAATAGCTTGCAAGCCGGTGCTTGTACAAACATGAGTTTGCACAGGCTCAAGAGCCAAGAGGTCCCTACTTGTTGCTGCCCAGGGAAACCGCCCGCAGCCCATCTCCATGGGTTGCATGTTCGCAGGTCGCTCTTGCTATTAGGTGCAATCTTGAAATTCCGGGTTGCAACGAGCATGTCCGGCACACGCAGGCGACCTCCGTTTGCACGTGGCCGGCTCATCGAGCCTAACCACACATATGGAACCTATGAGGAGCAGGTTTTTTAAGCTTGTAATCATAATGCTGTGAGGATAAGCCTAGGAGCCCTTAAGGCCTGGGGTGGCCATGAACCCCTAGAACTCGGGCTCTCTGACCTAAAGTAGGTGCGCCCCTGTATTTCCGTGGAACCACCTTTCAAAAGCTCCTCCATGAAGACAAACGTCTAACGTGTCACCCGCCAGACACCAAGTAGCACAGACAATTCCATGTCAACACTGGCAATCCCGTTCCGGCCCTTCCCTGATTTTCCTGGCAGAATGACAATGGTCCTGGTTCGCACTGCAGTCTTTGTTGCCAGAATATCCTACATTTCCCTCGTTTGTTCAGATCTGGCACTGCGTGGGGGAATGCAGGATTCTCCAGGGTTTGTGCGAACAAGCACAGAACATATTGAGGTTCCATGGTTGTGGACGAGAAAGGGATCCACAAATGGATACATCAGACAGCTTCAGACTGGCTGTTATTTCATCCTTGAAATAGCTTTGCCGGGCACTTTTTGTTTATGCCAAGCTTCACTAAACCGGGACAAATGCAGAGGCAGTTTCAGGAACGCCAGGCCCATATGTTATTTTCCTCTGTTCCCGCAGCATGTTTCAGGCCCGGAATGTCATGGGCATTGAGAATGCCATGGACAAGCACCACAGGACGGCCCCGTAGGCGTTTTTCTATTCTTATTGTTTCTCATTTTTTTCCGGGGGGCCCAAGTGGCTTGGCATGTGCCAAAGTCCTGGGGCTGTCCTCTATGCCATGTCTTACAGTGTTGTCCCTTTGAGTTTCACAATAGTCTTGCGCTGACGGTTTCCATGTTGGTCTTCCTTGTGAGATGATAGGGGCTCCACTTGGACATGGGAGGGGAGTGCGCAAGCCCTTTCCCGCCCGAGCGGGCAACGGGCCAAAGGGCCAGATACGGCCCAAAATAAGCAAAATAAGGCCAACATCCTTGACATTGGTTTGATCGCGAAAAAGGTGGTCGAAGGTCATTTGGCCATAAAGCCTTCAACATCCCCTATGACCGTGTCCGTCCCAAATGACCGTGAAAATCCCGCACTCTTGTTTGCCGCTGATATTTGCTGTGCCTCTGTCGGTCGCTTCGAGTCAGAGAAAAAGCTAGAGCGTGCTTGTGTGCGTGGGCGTGTTATGTTATGTGTATGTACGGGCGCGCGTGTTTGTGTCTGTGTGTTTTGTGTTGGCACGTCTACACCAACGCATACTCAGAAAACGAGAACCCTGGGATTCAAAGGGCCTTAAAGGGCAAGGCCGTTATAGAAAGGGCCTTTGTGTATATGGCCTGTGGAATGGGGTTTGGTGGCGGTTCACGAGGTTTCAACATAGCATTGGTGTTGGTGTTTGTCATGGGGACTTTGTATCTTGAAGTTTGTCGCCGTCCAAAGGGCTTCTAGCGGGAGAGAGAGAGAGAGAGAGAGAGAGAGAGAGAGAGAGTGAGACAGGCATCAGTTTAACTTAGTTTCACATTGAAGGCTTGGCTAGCTCTGAGCGTGTTTAAATAACTTACTCTTCTTGACTGCGAGCAAAGAAACTAGCTTGCCATTCCATTTACAAGGAATTGCAGCCTTTTCAGCAGTAAGAACGCTAAGGCAACGCAATTGGACATATGTATGATGCGGGGTTTGCTTGAATTCGCTTCCATCCGTGCTGCGAGCGCCAGGCAAAGGCTAGTGGTTAGGTTATCGTAGGCGTAGTTTCACGAAGGCAGTGCCTGAAGAGGAGGCGCTGCTTATGTTTAACATGAGCTGCACATTGGTGCTATATCGGGCTGTGAAACCTGCCAGCCTACCCTTACTCCACTCCTGATTTGTTCTTCTGCCCCACAATGCAGTTTTTTGATTAATTCATACAAAGCCCGTCGACGCGGTTCGAGCGACTGCAACAACCAAACCCGCCCGCGCAGGGGCCTGCCTGCCTCCTGTGGTCAGTTGCACTGGTGCTTGCAACTTTCACTGCTTTGGGAAGGGTCAGTGGTTCCTCCACTGCTTGCCTTTTGGGCGTTGCTTGTGCGCAATGCGTTTGCTTTTTCCGCGTTTGCAATTGCATCGCCATTTGCAAAGGTGTCCGTTGTTCAGCTGTGTGCCAGCCTGGGGGATCAAAATGGACAAGTAATAACGGTAATAAGCATTTTCCTTCCAGTGAACAGACGTGAATGCACATGAACCATGTTTGGCAAACAACGCAAGGTCCAGCTCCTAGTTTCAACCACAACCTAACCAGCAGGGAGCCAAGCCACAAGTTCACGCCTAAAAACGGCCGTTCACGCCCTAAACAGGCCTTTCACCTTGTTTCACGGTGCTTCATGCTTCCCAGCCCCGAAGGTTGCTGTGGACTAAAGATGTCGCTGCGTCCAGGGCGTTGTGTCATATGAGTGGTTGTCTAGACTTGCCCTGCTGGCATGCTTCAACTCACAAGAAGCATGTGCATTAAAATGTGTGAGCCCACAAAAATATGGGACGTAAGCAATTCGCAACAAGAATCGGGCTTGATAAGTGTGCCGCTTTGTGTACAGGCAGTGGCCGCAAGTTGAAGGGTCACTAACTGACACACTGACTGCGTGGGCCTTAACATGATACATGATGAATACATGCCACATTCAGCTGTTCTCCTGGCCACAGTCATTTAGGTTGCGAGTCTGCCAGTTTGCTGATTTCAGGTCGTCTTGGGAAGTCAAATGCTGCAAGGAACCTCACAGTCCAATCCACGGACTAAGCTACTACAGTTGTCACGGCACGTGCGTTGCTTTGTGTGAACTGCCTGACGTCATTGCGCCAGTGTGCTTGAAGTGGTGGGCAAGTACGTTTGACACACGTCACCGGCAGTACCAACAAAGTACTATAGTACTAGACTGGTTTTAACTGAATTTGAACACGAGGTTTGCCATGACCGACCTTTCTAGACGCAAAGGGCTGGAATATGTAGTTGTTTAACGTTTGTTTTCTAGGTTGTTTGCTGAGCCGTTCCTATATATATATATAAGTATTTGCCCAACGTGCTGGCCTGAGGTTGCAAAACCAATATCCTGCCTGTTTATGCTAACCTTCTTTCACATAGTTGATGCTGTTCCGGAAATTCCGACATCGTGCTAATTGTGACTGTCACCCTGGTCTAAGTACAGAAGCTAACATGTGAAGCTTCGCAAATCTTGCAATGGCAAGAACACAACGTTTTGGGTGAAACAAGGCTCACTCAAACATCAAGAGGGCGAGAGACAGAATGATGGGAAAAAATGTTTCCCAAGAGCGGCTGCTGAAGTTCCATGCCAAAATAATACTTACAAAACTGAAAATTTGCCAACAAAGGCCTTCACAGGCCTAGAGAGGCCGGGCTGGAAAGGCCTTTGTTTTAAGGGCCTCCGACTCCCAGCGAAAACCGTTTTTAAAGTGTTTCTCACGGATTTTCACGGATTTTCACGGCCTAGTCACGGATTTTCACGGCCTTTTCACGATTTTTCACGCGAAGCGCGTGCCAGCGAGTGTTAATGACACGGCAGCAGCTCATCGCCCCATCGAATTGCCATTGCCAAGGCTTGCAAAGGAAGGCTCAGTCAGCGTGTGTTGGAGGCTGCTCTTCCTGGCAGTTGGGAAAGTAAGGCCACCTGTGTAAAGATACGTGTTTGCAGCTGCCCTCAAAACATGAAATTCGTATATTATACTAAAATATTAACGTCTTAAGATCTTAAAATGCGGAAATCTTAAGAACTTAAACTCTGAAGACCTTACACTATTAAGATACAACAGTCGGAAAATGTTAGAATCGTATTAAAATGTTCAACAATTAAAACCTGAAAATACTCATATTAAAAGATCTTAAGTGCATAAACCCATAACATATTAAGATTTTAAACTCTTGGAACCTTAAAGCATTAAAATCTGTAAATCTTAAGATATTCAAATCTTAGATTATGAAGATCTCAAAATTTCAGAATCTTGAAAAATTAAAACCTTAATATCATAAAATCCTAAAATCTTGCATTCCTAACATCTTAGAACACTTATACCTTAATATCTGAAAATCCTAAAATCTTACATTCCTAACATCTTAAAACATTCAAACCTTAGCATCTTAAGATCTGAAAATGAGAGCATCTTAAAACCTGAAAACATTCAAGTCCTAAGATCTTAACATTTTACATCCTAGAATCTTAAACTCTTAAACTAGTAAGATCTTAAGATCTTAAAATTTGAAAACATGTAATTCTTAAAATCTTAATTTCCTAACATATTTACATTTTAAAATCTGAAAACCTCAAAGCCTTAAAATCTGAGAATCTTAAGATCCTAAGATCTTAAAATAGTAGAATCTTAAAATCTGAAAATCGCGGACTCTTAAAATATTGACATCTTACAAGCTTAAGATCTGAAAATCCTAGAATAATCAATCATAAACCATGTAAATCTTAAAATATTTAAATCCTAAATTCTTAGAATCTGAAAATTTAAAATGTTGGAAACCTTTAAGTTGCAAGGTCTCTCATGCAAAAGCAAGTTGACATCCTTTGCTGACACTGTTTTACATATTTTCAGGTTTGAAGGTTTCAGGAAACTACGATTTTAGGTTTTTAAGATTTTTAAGCTTTTCAGATTTCAGGATTCTATCATTTTAAGATTCCATTATTTTAAGGTCCTGATATATATATATAGATACACATATGACGTGTTTAGATTTTAAGATTCCAAGGTTTTAAGCGACTCTTAAGATTCTGCTATTTTGAGATTTTCAGATGTTCCGCTTTAAGGGTTTCAAGATTCTAATACTTTCATATTTTAAAATCTAAAGACTTTACTAGTTCAATTGTCTACTGCTTTAAGATTTTAAGATCTTAAGGTTTCAATATTTTGAGATCTCAAGATTTTAATATGTTAAGAATATATGATCTTAAGATTTTGAGGGCAGCTGCAAACACGGATCTTTACACAGGTGGCCTTACTTTCACACTGCCAGGAAGAGCAGCCTTCCAACACACCCTGACTGAGCCTTCCTTTGCAACCGTGGCAATGGAAATTCGATGGGGTGGTGGGCTGCTGCCGTGTCATTAATTAACACTCGCTGGCACGCGCTTCGCGTGAAAAATCGTGAAAAGGCCGTGAACATCCGTGACTAGGCCGTGAAAATCCATGAAATTCCGTGAAAAACAACTTGCAAAAATCGGCTATTGTTTTTATAAATATACGCTGGTGTAGATTAGGGGTGTGTTACGCCTGTAGGGGTTTATGAAATTCACGGTCTTTCCAGCAACTTTTCAGGCCTTGAGCGTTTTTGAGCTTTTTACCTCAACCCTGGGGGTCGGAGGCCATTAAAACAAAGGCCTTTCCAGCCCGGCCTCTCTAGGCCTGTGAAGGCCTTTGTTGGCAAATTTTCAGTTTTGTAAGTATTATTTTGGCATGGAACTTCTAGCAGCCGCTCTTGGGAAACACTTTTTCCCATCATTCTGTCTCTCGCCCTCTTGATGTTTGAGTGAGCCTTGTTTCACCCAAAACGTTGTGTTCTTGCCATTGCAAGATTTGCGAAGCTTCACATGTTAGCTTCTGTACTTAGACCAGGGTGACAGTCACAATTAGCACGATGTCGGAATTTCCGGAACAGCATCAACTATGTGAAAGAAGGTTAGCATAAACAGGCAGGATATTGGTTTTGCAACCTCAGGCCAGCACGTTGGGCAAATACATATATATATATATAGAAACGGCTCAGCAAACAACCTAGAAAACAAACGTTAAACAACTACATATTCCAGCCCTTTGCGTCTAGAAAGGTCGGTCATGGCAAACCTCGTGTTCAAATTCAGTTAAAACCAGCCTAGTACTATAGTACTTGGTTGGTAATGCCAGTGACGTGAGTCAAACGTACTTGCCCGCCACTTCACACAAAGCAACGCACGTGTCGTTACAACTGTAGTAGCTTAGTCCGTGGATTGGACTGTGAGGTTCCTTGCAGCGTTTGACTTCCCAAGACAAACTGAAACCAGCAAACAGGCATACTCGCAACCCAAATGACTGTGGCCAGGAGAACAGCTGAATGTGGCATGTGTTCATCATGAATCATGTTAAGGCCCACGCAGTCAGTGTGTCAGTTGGTGACCCTTCAACTTGCGGTCACTGCCTGTACACAAAGCGGCACACTTGTCAGCCCGATTCTTGTTGCGAATTGCTTACGTCCCATATTTTTGTGGGCTCACACATTTTAATGCGCATGCTTCTTGTGAGTTGAAGCATGCCAGCAGGGCAAGTCTAGACAACCACTCATGTGACACAACGCCCCGGACGCAGCGACATCTTCAGTCCACAGCAACCTTCGGGACTGGGAAGCATGAAGCACCGTGAAACAAGCGTGAAACTACCGTGAAAGGCCTGTTTAGGGCGTAAACGGCCATTTTTAGGCGTGAACTCGTAGCATGGCTAGTTCTGGCTGAAACTAGACACTGGACCTTGCGCTGTTTGCCAAACATGGCTCACGTACGTGCATTCACGTCTGTTCACTGCAAGGTATATGCTTATCACCCTTGTTACCCCCAGGCTGGCACACAGCTGAAAAACGGACACCCTTGCAAATGGCGATGCAATTGCAAACGCGGCTTAAACAAACGCATCGCGTGCAAGCAACGCCCAACCGGCAAGCAGTGGAGGAACCGTTGACCCTTCCCAAAGCAGTGAAAGTAGCAAGCACCGGTGCAACTGATCACAGGAGGCAGGCAGGCCCTCCAAAGAATTACGCTGCGCGGGTGGGTTTGGCTGTTGCAGTCGCTCGAATCGTGTCGACGGGCGTTGTATAAATTAATCAAAAAACTGCATTGCGGGGCAGAAGAACAAATCACGAGTGCAGTACGGGTAGGCTGGCAGGTTTCACAGCCCGATATAGCACCAATGTGCAGCTCATGTTAAACATAAGCAGCGCCTCCTCTTCAGGCACTGCCTTCGCCTACTATAACCTAATCACTCGCCTTTGCCTGGCGCTCGCAAGCACGGATGGAAACGAATTCAATCAAACCCCGCATCATACATATATCCAAGTTGCCTTGCCTTAACGTCAATTCCTTGTAAGTGGCAAGCTAGTTTCTTTGCTCGCAGTCAAGAAGAATAAGTTATTTCAACGACATATCATTCTCGAGAAGGATATTGGCCCGTAGTACAACGCGCTCAGAGCTAGCCAAGCCTTCAATATGAAACTAAGTTAAATTGATGCCTATCTCACTCTCTCTTTCTCTCTCTCTCTCTCTCTCTCTCTCTCTCTCTCTCTCTCTCGCTAGAAAGCCCTTTGGACGGCGACAAACTTCAAGATACAAGGCCCCCATGGCAAACACCAACACCAATGCTACGTTTGAACTCTTGAACCGCCACCAAACCCCATTCCAACAGCCATATAAACAAAGGCCCTTTCTATAAAGGCCTTTCTTTTGGCCTTTTGAATCCCAGGGTCAAGTGGCACCCCAAGTATAAACATGTTGCAAGGTCTTTAGGCTTGCTTCACACATCTGAAACAGAAATGGGAGGGGGGGTTCGGGACAGCTATACCGCGGACCTTGTCGAGCAAAACAGGTTCTCGGGAGGGCTCCGCAAAATTGCTTCGAAGGGTTCAAGGCGCAAACTCAACAAGTACCAAAACGGTTCCGCAGAACCGTGAACCGTTAGTCGAAGATCCGAGGCAAGTTTTGAAATCACACGCTGTTTTCGCCTAGATTTCAAAAAAATGTCGAAGTTATGCGGCGGCGAAAATCCAGACCCGCGCCGCTTCCAGAAATCACAAACATGTGGTTTTCCCAAAGGTCTTCAAAACTCGTGGTTTGCCCAACGGTCTTCAAAACGCGGGTCCTGTAAGTGTAAGGCACCCGCCCATGTTTTGAAAGGCCCGCAAGTTTGGGCTGGCAAAGCACATGTGGCTTCCCCATAGTGCGAACTTTCCTAACAACAAAGGCGCCTTCGACATAACGGGCGCTGAAAAGGCACATTCTGGGCTCCACATATAACGGCTGCAGGCCGAGCGACGCACCACTTAAGTTGCTCTGCAGTGCTACAAAAACACGAAATAGTGGGTGGAGAGAAACCATATAGTAGCACCCTCCGCGTAGCGCAAATGGGTCCATTAGTGCCCCCCAATGTGTGGCCGGATCTGATTTGCGGAGGCTGCGCTGCTTCTTTTCCGGCGGGCAAGCGAGTCTGGCGACAGACCATGCGGAGCGCACAAATATGAGTCACGTCACATGCTGCGACGCTCACATGTAGTGCGAAACGCAAGTCGCAACACGCCCATCACACATTGCTTTCAATAAGGGAGACTAGCCCCACAACCTCTTTTTCTACAGTAGGAAGCCCGTTTGGTTTCTTCTTCAGTCTTCTTTGACTCAACAAGGGGTGTTCTCTTCACGCATCAGAGAAATTCCTTCAGCCGAATATGAGTTGCGCAGTAGAGACCCTTAATATTGCGTGTGGCATTGGGGTGTGCGTTTTCAAGGCGCTCAGCGGGTGCTGAACCGCACCCCCGCCCCCTCCCCCCCGCGAACCACACCTTCGAGATAAAGAAAGATTTTCACACGCTTTTGCACGCAGCGTCATGTGCGTGATGCTGTGCGATGCTGAGCATGGCCGGCTCATGCTCCCGGATGCGATTGTTGTCACAGCCTAGGAAGGAAACGTGATGTCGAGGTCGCGCCGTGTGTGCTTCTTCGGCGCTGAAAAGTTGTGACTTTCGCGCCGGTGTTGCGGTCGTGCTTTTGGTGCGCTTCTTTGGCGCCTAAAAGAACTAGTTCCGTCTTTGGAGCCGGGCTGCGGCCGCGATTCGAGTGCGCTTGGTTGATGACGAAAAGATGCAACTTTCGAGCCAGGATTTTGGAAGTACATCTTTGGCGCTGGGCAGTACGATTTTCGCGCCAAGCCCGCTTTCGAAGGGGCGGCGCCCAGAAACTTGCGCAGCTCAAACCGGTCACTTCGGCGCGGAGCCCAAACGGGGGTATATTTCTATAACTTGTCCGGGCGCTTATTGCCGCAGCCTCTGTATGACAACGCGTCGGATCCGGCTTACTGCTGCTCGTGCAACGTTTACCTTGAGATTTCGCGACGCGCAATAACGCAGGGCCTTTTGCAGGCCCCTTTGATATTTTACGACGCTGCCAGAATCTTAACAAATTTGCAGGCCGTGAGAATCGTGAAAATGCAATGACCTCGAAAATCCCGTATGACCTCGACCGGGGGCAATTAAGGTCGTGAGCGGTATGGCCTCCAAAATTGCGATCGGACGGGTGTCAAGGATGAGGCTAACACAAGGCCAATGTGAGGATAGACGTATTATCCTCCTCGATGTGGTTGGTAGTGTCAGAGCAAAGCGATTTCATTTGCAGAGGCACTGGAAGAGGAATGCACATATTCCCTTCCATTGAAGCGCCATGCATGCGTGTCTGCAACAGATACATCGACTTGCAGTCATTGTGTTGCCAGCCCCATTACTTGCTTTCATGCTTTGTCATCCACGTTTACAGGACACTCTGAATTCATCACGCCTCTGTCGGAGAAACGTGTCTAATTCAAACGCTTTGCAGTCAGCACCTCGAAAGCTCAGATCGACCCCCCTTGGGATGTTTTAACAACGGTTTGGGAAGCAACATGGGGCAAGGGAGCAAGCTGAAGGATTCTGGCTCTCTGATGGACAGCCCTCGAGAAGAGTTTGGCCTCACAAGGCAAGCGTTCCTGTTGTTGGACCTCGGCCACTACAAATATATTGAGTATTCGGAGGACTTTGGAGATTGCGGCATGATTGGTTTTGCTGGGCTCATTTTGAGATTTCCGCCAGAAAAGCCTTGACCCCCGAGACTAGACTTGTTGAGCTCTGTTTTCATTTAGATGGGATCGCCCTTTGAGATCAAAAACCCTCAAAAGAGGTCAGTTCTTGGTTTCCCACAGCACCGGTTGCAAATGTCCCCCCCCCCCTTTTGTCCTTGTCTTTGGCGGGAGGGGGGCGGTGTGCAGGTTCTCTTTCCATAAATTCCACAGTCGTCCCAGCCCCAGCGCGTTTCTTGGGCTTGAGGGCTTAAAGCTCACGCTAGGACCATGATGGATGGCAAGCCCCAATCTCTCGGCATGTGCTTCGACGAGCCGGACCCCTATGAGAAGCGAACGAGCGGATGGATATGGATGCAGCAAAAGGTCGCTGGGGTCCAGGGTTGGGCAAAATTGGTCTGAGCCAGATCTGGGGCTCCTTTCAAGGGAAACCAAACGGAGGGCGTTTCAACCATTTGGTTTAAGCAGCTTAGGCATGCTTGAAGGAGGGGTTCAATACTTTCACTGGTCTTTGGGTCCGATTCCTCCCCGTTTCTTAAGTTTCCTCCTCAACACCAGAATGTCGAAAATAGACCCACCCTCAATGTGGCAATCCGAAGAGATGGGCCCCCTGTGTTCCCGACGAGAAAATTGGCCACTCAACAATGCGAACAACCACTGGGCTGCTGTGAGGACCCTTTTGAAGGAGGAGACCCCATGTAGCTTACGCTTGCATCTTTGGCTTTGAGGGGCAAGTCATGTTCTAGAGGATCCCCTTTAAGTAATGAGAGAGGGATGTTTGACCTTCTCAGGCGTGTATGTGTTTTTGTGCCAAGCCACCTTCGGAATGTGTTGTTTTCCTTCGAGTGCCCCCTTGTTTCAGCACCAACCCAAAGGCATATCCGCTATTTAGGCCATGCGGAGGCCCAGAAGGTCCCAAATAATTTTGCCATCCAAAAGATGCCCAGCTTAGTGTGGTCGCTGGCATGGTTGGCATGGTTGCAAGCCGGCTGATTAGTTCATATCAAATATCTCAGACAAGAGCACAACAAATACAAAGTGTCCAGCACATTGCGGTGTGATCACATGATTCTAGAAGGTTTTGCTCCTTCTATCCCAGCTGAGGGCCAAGGTTATCCTTGATTTGGTACCTGAGGCTGTTGCTTGGATCAACCCACTCAAGTGGTTTCACCTTGAGCAAATGACAAGTTGCAAGTCTTCCAAACTTTGACGCTTTAGTGGCTGGAAACAACGCTAAAGCTCAGACTCTCAGCGCCCTAGGATCTGAGCCAAGCATCATTGCACCTGAGAGGGTAAGGACCTCCAGTCGAGACTTCAACCAGGAGGTTCTAGACTAACAGTTGGGCCCTTGGATTTGAATAGAACATGCATAACAGCTTGGGCCCTAGGTTTCTCGCCCCCAAAGTGGACGAACAAGTTATGGACCCCAGAGTTGGGTGGGATTTGATCCGGTGTGTGTGTGTGTGTGCGTTTCGCGCGCGCGCAATACGCCAAGGCGGCGCCCTCCCCGTGCCATCCGCCAGAAGTACGGCAAGCGGCGGGCCGACACAGTGCTGGAGGCCAGAAGTCCGTGCAACCCGGGACGTGGGTCCAAACTGTAGCCCAATACATGTTGTGTGTGTGTGTGTGTCATTTTTTTCACATTTGGATGTAAACGCACATGTGCATGAGTGCGCGCATAAACATAACATATACACATTTGCATGAGTTGGCCCTTTACCTATTGATTTATTGTCAAGCTTTATCCCCCCAGCCCCTGCGGTGTGGTTCCAAATTACCCCCAAATTACACCTTCACCCCTTCAGGGTATGTTCTGGACGCTCAGACTTGCTATTTGGAAATCATTTTAAAGAACTTCAAGTTGGGAGAGGGGCAAGTTGCAAACAATCGCAGATCCCTCCCCAATTTTGGGCATAAGCCTGGTGAAGGTCAAGAGTGACAGGGTTTTTGGCAGGAGCCATTTGCGGAGCTGCTATGGATTTTATTCTTGCTTGCCTCCCATAGGTTTGGACCAAGGTCGTGCCAGTCTGAATGTAACATCCACGCCAGGCGTGGTCATTGGAGGGGCAATCGGATAATCAGTTGGAGTTCAAAAAAGCAGCCTTCTCTTCGGTTGGGGACGCAGTTGAACCGGTCTGCTTTCATTGGTGTCCAGTCTAATCAGTGTTTTCCGCAGACTGCCTTTGCCCGCCCCTCGCCAGGTGGAGCAACCCCCCATTTCCTTCCAGCGGGACGAGGATTACCGCGAGGACGACATGTTAGGTCAGTCGAGATTGCAAATAGAAAAGAAAGAGTGTTCTTGTCGTTCCGGACGCGATGAAGCAACACGAGTAAGAGACGCTTGAAACCCGGTAAACGGGAATTCTAGCGGAAATCATGTTGTTTGTGGTGTGGTAGGAAAGCCAATGTCTTGCAGAGATTCCCGCTGGTTTCCATGATTGAAACCCAAAATGGTGATGCTCCGGGTACAAACTCCCAAAAGCAACGAACCATCCATTTTGCGCAGGTTTCCATGAGAAGGCCTCCAAGTCGCCAACATGTATCAATACCATGTGCCTGTCTGTCAAAGCGGGCCTGGAGACGTCAACCAGCATGGCTGAATGGCCATAGTCTCACCGGAAGTCTAGACCGCCAGAAGGCGGTTCCAAGCCCAGGCCAACTGATTTCCGGGTCCTTTGGATACCCGGCACATTGTGTTAAAGCTGGGGGATAGCGCCTCGCATTCGCTGGTTTCCTCTCCTTTGCACGTAAAGGTTTGTGAAAAGTAGGGTCCCTTTTTTGGTTGCCGTTATACGGCGGCACAAGGCAGCACCAGGTCCCAAAAAGGTCCATATTTTGTACCCCGCTTGCGACGTTCCCATTTGGGTTTGTTCGGGAAGCGTTTTCTCTTTGGATTCCCTTGGCAACAGCCCCACAAAGGATGCCGGTCGAGGCAGAATCTATTTGTTTACCTCAGCTAGAACCCCAAAGGGTTGATCAGGCCTGATGAAGGGATCAACTGAGGCTTGAAGTGTCAATACAGCCATGGACTCCCTTCACAGACCCCGCTGGAGATTTCCGTTTTGTTTTTTTTTGGCGAAAACGTGAACGCCTCCTTGGCATCCATTAAGCGAGTCAGGTGTTTAGTTGAAACCTGGACCAACTAATCTAGTGATCGCCCCAGAAACAGCGTTCAGTAGGTTTTGTTTTCTGCCCACGGCTTTTGGGCTTGTACCAAGAGCACCACGTTGCAGCTCACTTCCATGAGTAACGGTCAATATTTACCGACATCTACCGCAAAGATGATGACATGGGCCACACCCACCAACTCACCGTTGACAGATACATGCAGAACAAGCTGATTTACAAGGGAATCCTGTAATGCAGCTGGAAATTGTGTGTGTGTGTGTCTTTTCAACAGGCCCAAATGCATCATTATGGCTTTGTGGCGAGCTGACCTGGGGTAAAACAACGCCACTGCAATATTGGTCATTTGCTCGTTGCACAATTTGTAGATCCTGGAAGAGATCCCGATTTACACACCAAACTCAAGTGTCTGTCGGGCCTGAATATTTACAAAGGCTCATGTCCAGACCACGTGATTCAATCCGAACATCATGGCGGCATAGATGTGTTGGCTGCCACATACGGAATCGCGCTGCTAGGGTTCCCGATACTTCCCCGTTTGCTGGTTTCAAACATCACCTTCTGGATGTGAATCTTCCAATTGTGACTGCATCTCTTTTTGGTGGGGTCATGTTTGAAAGGGAAATACAGGGAGCCTGACTGCTTCAGCGGCTCGCGTGGGGATCTTGACTGTGGCTATGCCAGGACAAGGGGACCTACGAGTCCATTTCTGGCTTCATGAACGCCGTCCGCAGGCTGGAAGCGTCAGCTGCCACTACATGCGGGGCTTGGTGCTAAAGTTGAGCCTCTGCTTGGCCTGGATGGTTTGAACAAATGAACACAGAAAACAGGGTTGGGCAGGCTGTGCTCAAACAACCTTGCCCTGGTCTATGCTTGACAAATGTTTGTTTAATGCTTCTGTATGCAATAGGGGACTGACACAGCTTGAATCAAGGGGTCAGTCAGCCCAACCCAAGGCCAGTCCGAAGGGATCGACCCGTTTTGGTGAGCAGTTTCCCACTGTCGCGTTCTGAAATTCATCCACTCCCTTGCTAAGGCGGCCACGAGAGCGAGAGCAGAGATCTATCCAGTTGACTGCCCGGGCGTGGAGGATTGTCGTGAAAGAAATCCAATGCCTGCCGCTTACTTTGTTTGTTCTAATCACCGTGAGCGCTTGATACGCAGTCTACTTGTGTGTGTGTGTGTGTGTGTGTGTGTGTGTGTGTGTGTGTGTGTGTGTTTGGTTGGGGTTCCCAACCGAAACGTTACTCAGTCCCGATCTAATCAACATCAGCTGTGCTCACAAGAAACGACTCCTGCCTTTGACCCACACGTATCATTTTTGCGATCAACGGATGCTTCAATTTTCAGATTGTCCATAGGTCCACCCCCACCTGATCCAACCGCCCGATTTAGCACTTTTCGAGAACCAAGAGTCGGAAATGGCCCTGATTTGGTTTGATCCCCCTTGGCAGGAATAATTTCTTCACCAGCAATGCTAGGCGCAACCCTGTCTGAAGTTGGAGTTATCCTTCACCTTTGAAGTTGGCATGTTTCAGACTGAAAAGATTAGTTAATGAACTGTCCAATACTTTTGCAACAGTGAGCTTGGCCCACCACTCCGGATCGAAATTGTTGGTCTTGTGGCTTTTGCGCCGCGCAAGGCCGCTGGCTCCTGCAAAAGGCTTCGCAACACGTGGGATGTCGGTCGCGCTTGAAATGTAGAACTATCAGAATGGGATGTTTGTGTTGTCTTTTTCAAGCAGAACAGGTGTTCACAGGGCTGTTGGTTCTTGTTGCCCTGTTTTATCCATTTCTTGTTTTCGCGCCCAAGCCCGGGGAGAATCTGCGAAGCTTCTTTTCGTCAGGGTGGCCCGGGAGGCAGATACCCAGAATAGGGCATGTCAGGCAAGATAGTCATGATATCGCCAGCTGAATACATTCATTCAATACATATATATTTATATCTTCATATATGCATATGTGTGCATAAGCCGCCAACCAACTTGATTCCGTTGTCCACTTAACTGGCTGCTTTCCCTGCTCTGCTCAGTATCAGAAAGTTTGCTGATGTGGTTGGCCATGTGGACGGAGTCGGCAGTGCACAAATGCAACCAAGCCACTTGTGTGTTCCTCTCAAACAACTGAATTGAATCAGAGCTTTGTCTCAAAGTATAGCTATAGTATGCTTCGGCTGTTGAGTCATGAGTCTTTGCACCTTGCTACGCGTTGAAGAGGCAGGTAGAAACGGCCTCTTTCAATGAAAGTGGATCCGATTGTGCGCAGAGGGCGTGTGTTTGCTCGTTTCACTCCGGCTCAGCCCATGTTCGGCCGCTCGCTCGATCGAATCGGATCGAATCGGCCAGGCGAGTGGAACCACTCGCAGCATCTGAACTCCATGCAGAACAAGACGAATTGCTTGAAGCAGCTTGGGCCGAAGGCATCAAGCTACTGCCATTTGTGGTTTGTCCAAATGGGAATCCGGATGGCGAGGAAATGGAGCCTTACACCTGTTTGCCCTGGGAAGGGGGGCTGGCCAGCCTGTTTCCCCAAGCAGTCGGCGGTCAATGTGGGACAGATGTGTGGCATGTGCACTCGTCGAATTTCCCACAAGGACCCGGGATTCGCTGAGTTTGCCACGTCCATTTTATTTAAGCACATAATGTGTTCATCATGCCTCTGACGGTCTGATGAGAGTTGCCAACATGAGCGTTGCCGAGCCTGCCTGCAGAAGCAAATGCATGTGTATTCAGCAGTGGTATCGACTTGTGGGGGGGGGGGTTGCTAGAATTGTGGATTGCTAATTAATGTATATGCAGCGGCGGTTGGACGCGAACGGCGTGACGTGCTTCTCTATCAACATGCTGGGTGATTCCAAAGCCATGATCATGGGGCCTAGAGTGTGCTGCACGAGTCAATGGGGAAATGATTTAGCCTGGCACCCGTCAATTGATTCAGAGCGCATTAGTCTCTTAGTGACTAATGGTGTCTAGCAGAGCCATCAAAGACCATTACACCACTATGAAAGCAAATGGTGCCATTCCCCTTATGTGGGGGAAGTAAAGTGGATGACTAACCATGGTGAAATTGCGCCATCTACTTTCACCCAAGTGCAAGGGTCACAACCTTGCAATGGCTTTCCTGCCATTGCAGATGGGACTGAAAGCTGAGTGCCATTCTGGCGACCTAGGGGTGCTTGGAGCGATTGTTGCTTTTGTGGTTTGCCGGATTTGTGGGTTGATAGGGGAAGCCTCATAGCTGGTTTAGTGTTGGTGTTGGTGTCCTTTTCAACCAGCCACAAAAAGAGTAGCCTCAAACAAGTTCAAACCCTTGTCCAGTTTCAGCCATGCTGGCAAACATGGTGTGTTTGGTTGTTTTGCTTGGACAACAATACAGCATGTTTGTTTTCAACAAAATGTGTCTCTGCGCGTCAATATTCCTTCCGCATTATTTTGGATTGGTCACCCAAATTTACGTTCAGGTGTTGGAGGTAGCTGAGCATGTGCATTCGTAGCTGAGGAAGAGCCAGAACCAAGCCTGGAAGGCTTGCCTGGAATCGGGAGCAGCATGTGCTCGGAAACTGGACGTCTTGCAGACAGCCTTCTCTGTCCGTGTTCAGCCAGTCTTGACCCACAGAAAAAAAAAGAAGGGGCTGGTGTTGGGAAACGGAGATGTATGTGTGTATACATATATATATATATTGTATTTGTTGCATCTTGCAAGTGTTTGCGATGAATAGGTGTGTTGTTTGTTTGGTTGATTCTTACAGCAACCGCAGGAAGTGTGATGCCATGGGAGGCAAGATGTGTCCAATTGATTTGTCCAGCAATACACTGGCCCACCACTAGTGTACCTCGAAGCTAGTTCACGTTTTCAGACTGGACGTATGAATCCAAGTAATGCCAAAGTGCCACGAGTGGCAACTTGAATCTTACAGTAACAGGACCCTCAACAAGAGCTCCGCAGACAGATCCATTAGCACTATCGTCCACACTGCAACAAGGACTGCACTCTTGAACTGTATATTCTCTTTAGCACTGATCCGGCAATACAAGCAGGGCGTGCTTATTAACATCAAGTGTCCAATTGAATCTCAGCAAGCAGGTTCTAGACTATAGTCCGAAGAGATGCAATGATATGACTTCTGGACAGTACGTATGTCTGTCAATACTTAGAGAACTACATGACCTTCGAATCCAAGTTGAGTCCTGACAGGCAGGTACAGCTATACTAGGCAAGAAAATCACGTACTTTGCTTTGAGGTTTTAAACACAGCAATTCAATACACCTTAATACTAGATACTGGAACACACATGGAATCGGCTTCTCCTCAAACTGCAGACCTTATATTGGCCCCATTGCATACTGATGGACAAAGTCCGCTTCGAACCAGCTGGCGGTTTATCAACCATGCAAATTGGGTTTCCTCCATCCCAACTGGTGCCGATCGCGCGCCCAAACAAGTGGACCGTGAGGCCGTGTCGATTCGACCAAAGCCGACCATCCCGGTGCCGGCCTTGGCTGGCAGATCTTTTAGTTCTCTCGCGGCCCTTCCCATGTCACAAGGCAAATCCCCAAGTTCTATTGCGCGGCTCGTGGCTTCTTTAGTTTGCCACGGTGCAAGTTCTTGTTTGGTGTTTTATTACGAGAAACCGGGTAATGACTCAGATAGCCAAGACCCACAAGCCGGAAAGGGCACCCACATTTACCAAAGGCATTTCTTGGGGTTGTATGGGCACATTCGAAAGCTGGAATACGGTCCTTGGTTGCAATGTACTGAGTAGGGGGCTTCCTCCAATCACATCCAATCAGTGCAAAGAAGTGTCAAATGCTTTTGGACAAGGTCATTTAGTGGGAAAACATAGCCATGTATGTTCGATCCATGAGGCGCGCCAACTGTCTTTGAATGTGCCGAAGATCTTGCAGAATTCGGATGCTCCTGGTTTGTCTTGGCCAATGTACCCAGGAGAGAGGTGTTAGGTGTTCAAAGCAGTTTTCAAGCCCTAAACACAACTCAGGTGTTCAAGCCAAGCGGGGGCCATCCAAATGACCAGCGTCCAGTTCATACCCAAGTGCATCCTTGAGATGTAGCCCTTTTGCGACGGTCCCAAAGCTTGTCCCGATGTTGGAATCTTCAGGACCAGTGAGTTTATGGCTGGTGTCACAGGTGCAAACAAGCTCCAGCCAGCGATTCTCTAGCCCGGGTGCCGTGTGCATTTCGTCGGAGAACGGCAGCAAGAACATTCGCCCAGGATCCGCCAAACTCTGCGAGGAGCTGGTCAAAGGCGGGCTCGTAGGACGACCTTCATACACCAGTTCCCCCGAAGCCACAGGCTTGTGGGTCACGTGTGGATTCCCCTTTGCATTTGTTGGGTCCTTCACCTCAAGGACCAGCGTCTCTCAATCCCACACAACACTGCAGACATTGTGGGAGCAGGTTGCGGTTGTGGTTAGGATCGAGAAACCACTCTGATTGGATGGAAGCAGGGGTGTAGTTTGAGCCCCGCTACCCTCGCCGGGCTTGGGATCTCTTTTTGTAAATTGTTGCCTATCTATGTTGGTTAGGTCCCAACAGCTGGAACACCCTTTTCGAGAGTTTCCATTTGGCCAATGGACAGTGGGAGGCAGGTAGCTCTTTCCAATCTGTCCCGTCGCAGGTGGCGCTTTGAGCGGTGGTTTGCGAAGTTGGCGGTTCCCCTTTTGGCTTCCCTTTCAATCCGTTGCAAGACGCAGTCCCTTGTTGGGACACCCATTCTAGAAGCTGGATTTGCCTCTTGGGCACCTCCAAGCCACCCTACCCGCCTGAGGAACTCTGTGCCTCGCAAGGCCAACATGGGTTTCTGAAAGCGGGCCCTTAGTCAAAGGAAGTTTAACAAGAAACTTCCGTAGTACTGGAACTAAGTGAGCTAGCTGCTTTGACATATAGCTATGACAGGTAGCTAGCATGACAAATAGATAGCTTTGACATATAGCTAGCTTGACAGATAGATAGCTTTCCAATAGGCTAGCATGACAGATAGATAGCTTTGACATATAGCCAGCTTAACACATAGATAGCTTTCTCAAGTATCGATTTCGTGGCAGGCGCAGCACTTTCGCAAGCACTCTCTGCGAGCTGGGGGATGGCAAGATGCAGAAAACGTTGGCGCTGTGCGTGAATTGGGCTTCCGGACAGTGCGCAAACCACCTCGGCTGCGACGCCTGTACGGAGGCGGTGGGGGGGTTCGGAACGGGACCATTGGCACGGCCGCGCGAAGGTTTCGCAAGGTTTGAATTGCGTGGCAGGCGCAGCACTTTCGCAAGGTCAAGTATAGATTTCGTGCAGGCGCAGCACTTTCGCAAGGTCAAGTATAGATTTCGTGGCAGGCGCAGCACTTTCGCAAGCACTCTCTGCGAGCTGGGGGATGGCAAGATGCAGAAAACGTTGGCGCTGTGCGTGAATTGGGCTTCCGGACAGTGCGCAAACCACCTCGGCTGCGACGCCTGTACGGAGGCGGGTGCGGAACGGTTCGGAACGGTCTCGGAGACGGGACCATTGGCACGGCCGCGCGAAGGTTTCGCAAGGTTTGAATTGCGTGGCAGGCGCAGCACTTTCGCAAGGTCAAGTGTAGATTTCGTGACAGGCGCAGCACTTTCGCAAGGTCAAGTATAGATTTCGTGGCAGGCGCAGCACTTTCGCAAGCACTCTCTGCGAGCTGGGGGATGGCAAGATGCAGAAAACGTTGGCGCTGTGCGTGAATTGGGCTTCCGGACAGTGCGCAAACCACCTCGGCTGCGACGCCTGTACGGAGGCGGGTGCGGAACGGGTTCGGAACGGTCTCGGAGACGGGCCCATTGGCACGGCCGCGCGAAGGTTTCGCAAGGTTTGAATTGCGTGGCAGGCGCAGCACTTTCGCAAGGTCAAGTGTAGATTCGTGGCAGGCGCAGCACTTTCGCAGCACTTTCGCAAGGTCAAAGTATAGATTTCGTGGCAGGCGCAGCACTTTCGCAAGTGACAGGCGCAGCACTTTCGCAAGGTCAAGTATAGATTTCGTGGCAGGCGCAGCACTTTCGCAAGCACTCTCTGCGAGCTGGGGGATGGCAAGATGCAGAAAACGTTGGCGCTGTGCGTGAATTGGGCTTCCGGACTGTGCGCAAACCACCTCGGCTGCGACGCCTGTACGGAGGCGGTCTCGGAACGGCGGAACGGGTTCGGAACGGTCTCGGAGACGGGCCCATTGGCACGGCCGCGCGAAGGTTTCGCAAGGTTTGAATTGCGTGGCAGGCGCAGCACTTTCGCAAGGTCAAGTATAGATTTCGTGGCAGGCGCAGCACTTTCGCAAGGTCAAGTATCGATTTCGTGGCAGGCGCAGCACTTTCGCAAGCACTCTCTGCGAGCTGGGGGATGGCAAGATGCAGAAAACGTTGGCGCTGTGCGTGAATTGGGCTTCCGGACTGTGCGCAAACCACCTCGGCTGCGACGCCTGTACGGAGGCGGTCTCGGAACGGTGCGGAACTCGGAACTCGGAGACGGGCCCATTGGCACGGCCGCGCGAAGGTTTCGCAAGGTTTGAATTGCGTGGCAGGCGCAGCACTTTCGCAAGGTCAAGTATAGATTTCGTGGCAGGCGCAGCACTTTCGCAAGCACTCTCTGCGAGCTGGGGGATGGCAAGATGCAGAAAACGTTGGCGCTGTGCGTGAATTGGGCTTCCGGACAGTGCGCAAACCACCTCGGCTGCAGAAGTCTAGGATGTGCCGCGGCAACAAAGCCATCGCCGGTCTCGGCGCTGCATGCGATCAGTGGCACGCTCTATCGGCGGACCACGGCACCACTCTCAAGATGCACGCGCTCTCGTTCTTGGGCACGCTGGCCAGTCCAAACCGCGGCACCTGGGACACAGACAACGTGCAGAAGCTGCGCAACATAGGTTTCTACCAGCAGGTGGCTTGCGCATGCGGCTTGACGCGCACGCACAGTGAGCAGTATCACAAAGATCGGCGACAGCAGCTGCAGCTGCAGCAGCTGCCGCGGTTCCTGCCTCGGCTGTATCCCGACGGCCAGCGGGATGGGCTCATTGATCAGGGGCACGAGTTCGTCACGTACTTGGCCGGAACTCATCCAAACTTCTCTGCGCAGGAAGTGAAGTGGTGCATGCGAGCAGAGAAGTATATGCGGGACCTGCATGAGTCGCTCCAGCGGCTGCTGGAGCGCGCAAGGACGGGAGACTCCAAAGCATGAGCGTAGCGCTGCGCGTGCCGTTTCGGGCCGCGTACCAAGAGAGGCTAAAAGACATTAAACTACATAGTTTAGGGCTCGAGGCGCTAATGTATCGGTTTTGCACGCGGGCGGGTCAAGTAGAAAACTGTTGGGGTTGCGAAAGATGCGCTAAAAGTGTGGTCTTGCGGCGGCGGCCGTGAAACATTTGTAGAGTGGCCCCCCATGGTTCCAGAAAAAACGCCAGCCAAAGCATCCGATCGAAGTGTTGCGACTGCGCGCGCAGGATGTCTCGCGGCAACGCCCATATTCCTTGAGCGGAGCATTCGTTGCGCTCGCCATCGACAAGCAATCTCGCTGCACTTCGCTCCACGTGCGCCAACACCGACCAATTTTCCAGGGACTGGGCCATCAAACATCAGGTTCTTACCTGAAACAGACGACTCCGGCGTATAGTTGTACATATGAAGCAAAGCTATGGGCGCACGCAAGCAAGGCAAGCGTATCCTTGAGCCAAATGTTGGAACAAACAAAACGAAAAACCGAGGGGCGGGCGGGGACAATGATTCAAAATGGTGGGATCGAATTGGATATGGAGTATATATATATATATAGATGTATATCTCGACCGAAAAGTGCTTGACATGGATCCATGGATTCCCGTGTTCTGTTCATATCCCTTTTTGCGCGGATGCCTGCCAAAAAAGAAAGAACATACATTTGACAAGACTTAATGAAGCGGGCAAATGGCTTTGGGAATTCGTTGTATTTTCCTTAGCAGGGGCTAGCCAGGTTAATGGAAACCTCGCTTCCCCGACGCAGCACTTTTACTGGCGCAAGGCATTGTCCCCCTCCCACCGCAGAGTGACGCTGACGCAATAATGCGCCAGCGCCCGCCGAGAGATCGTGGTCGGGTGCCCGTGGATCAGGATCTTCCTTGCAAGGCTCGGAGCGCGCAGCACGCTTGGAAAATCGATGCTGTCAGGGGGCTTCAAGCGCCCTATGAAGTCTTCGTTCAGCATATTCGCATAGTGGCGAGCGTTGCCATAAAAAGGCACAAAATCATACAGCCTGAGCGCGCGATTTCACGCGCAGCATGTATGCGCAGCATGTGTGTTCAGTTGACATTGACTGAGGGGCCGGCAAATGTTCGAGCTGATGCTGCTTAGGGCGAATCGCCCACAATGTCTCCTCGCGCTCCAGGCTAGCCTGGAAGAGGCCTGCGACATACGATGTTTCAGCTGCGACTCAGGGCAGCGCTGTTGCCAAGCCGCTGTCCCAGCAACTGCGGTACATGTGGTAGTACTTCTCCAAGGCAATCTGCGGTTGGAAGGGGTCGTGAGTATTGGTGCCCATATCTCTCCTCACATATGGACAAGCGTGCGACCAGGGCAAGGGCCTGCAAAATAAATGCCAACAGTGGGCGGGTGCTCTGCGAACAGCGTGTACATGCCTGTCAATCCGTTGAACACACCAGCCACCCACCTGCAGCCATGCACGCAGACGCGCGCTGCAGTTGATTTTTCTCTTCGAACGCAAACAATCAAAAGCTTGCGGCCATGACGCCAAGCTTCGCGCGTGTTGAGCTCTGCAGCTCGCTGAGCAGCTTGTTCGGCTGCCCAATATACCATCAGGCGTGCTGCGGCCGCCTTCAAGATTTTTTGGCTCACAGTGGGGTAGTCTCCTGCCTTGGGCACCAAAATCTTGCTCGTGAAGAGCTTCGAAGCTGCTCGGACGCTGTGGGCAACGCCTGGTACCGAGAATGCGTGCCAGATCTCACGCGCGCGTCGAAGTAAAACTTGCTAGGGCGCCGGTCTGGCAACACCACTGCTCGTAGTTGAGCTGCAGATCGCGAAGCTTGCTTTCCCGGCCGCGTGAAGGCGCGCTCCAAAGCACGAGCGCACTGCACAGCGCATCTACTGCTATCGCCACATCACAGATATGCATGAGATCAGGCATGATGCCTTAGATTCGTACACGCGGGCAAAAATTGGCCGCGCACGTGCGTGCGCACATGCGTGCCAGGGCTCGCCACACGCTGAACTCTGGCAATCTCGTGAGAGGGGATTCGCCATGAAGAAGCTTGAAGGCTTCCGTGGTAGTGAGCCTTGCGCACGTGTGTGTGGGCTGGAATTTAATCCAAAAATGCAGCCTAGCAGCGTCTGGCGATGCTGGGCAGATCTTCCAAAGCATGTGTAGTACAGCTCGCGTGGCTCCCCGGACTTGCGGGCGTCACAGTAGATGCAGCACTGCACGTGTTGCCAGGAGCCTTGGAATAGAGGCAGGATCAATTGCTCATGCGTTTACGGGCACAGACAAGGAACGTTTTAGCGCGAAGACTTTCTTCAAATACTCTTGGTCGGCTTGGAAGCCTGCCCAACAGCCTCGCCACGGGCCAGCAATGGGCACGCCTGCTTTCCGGTGTCTTTGCGGCATATACTCCTTTGAGAAGGCCGTGCCCCAGGGGTCGTGCGA